TTCACGAAACAATGATCAAACTAAAAATTAATTTTTTAGTGGATTTTAATAAAAAATTGATAAAATATATGATTGGAAAGTTAATAAAAATTGTTGGTCTATAACATATGTAGTTGAAAATGAGTTTGATAAAAATTACATTTTAGAATCTTCAATTTTTGCAACTCGAGTGGGTCGACTCGTCTTGACCCCTTTGGCCATCAACATTAAGACTAGCTCCTGTTTATTTCTATTTAAATTAAAACTCTTTATTTTTCATACTAATTTTCAACTATATATTCATACAATAAAATATTATGTGCGTAAATTCAAAATTTTTTCATACTTTTTAATCGCACATTCCTCAAGAAATCAATATTCAAAATATCGATTTTTCTTAATCTCTCTTTATAACGATAATCAAACAGGGGCTCAATTTCCTTGGTTTCCAAGTCCTTCGTGAGCCAACTCATAAGACTTATGGTTTGTTTCGTAGAGATTAAAATTGAAAAATTAGTCATTATTGTTGATTTTTATTAGACAAGTGAGACCCAATAACGACTGTATTTTTAATTTTAATTGGATATCAAGCACGATCGAACACGCACTTAAAGTTTTAAGAGCCTCTTCCTAGACTTCTTGCTAGTTGAGGCTATACATCACCACGGTCAAGTAATCGGTAAGAGTTGTTGTTGTTCCAACTTTTAAGAGGAGTTGTTGTTCCAACATTTTTTAGTGACATGCCCGTATAAATTGAATTGAAATTGAATTCAAATCTCGAGAAAAAAACGTTATCCCTTAATTTAAATCTTTCATACTAAAAATAGTCTCCAAACCCCCAAGCAACGCCAACTCCACATCGCCTCTATCACACGGTGTTGAGGTGAGTGAGGATCGGGAGTTTAAAGGAGGTAGACGTGTTAGAGAGGAGATGATGACTCCTAGCGACCCACAAGGGTTCAAATTGACAATCAATAAGTAATAATTTCATAAACCCTAGTTTGGATTAGTGAAAGCTATATGAATATTGGTAATCGCAGTCGAGATTTTATAATTTGGAAAAGAATAAATGTTAGTTTCTACAACGTTTTTGAAAGTTGTGTTTTAGATTTTTTTTAAGGTGGATTTCAGTTTTTTGAAGTCGTGCTTTCATATTTGGAGCAATTTATGATGACGTGGTCAGTTTGATGACGTGGCTGTTACACGTGGACTATTATGTTGATGAACTCAAGGTTGATGGAGTAGCTTGATTGCTTCTTGAAGTATAATGATTCGATGCTTCGAATTAAAGTATAGTGACTTAATTACGAATAGAGCTAAAGTTCAGTGACCAAGAGTGAAATTTCCTTTTTTTATTGCATTAGACTCACTTCCATTGCCTTGTTGCAGAACTTGAAAACCTCTGCAAAACCCTACTTCTCCTCTATCCATTTCCCTCCCCCCTTTATATATAATTGTATGTACAATCCTACTTAGTTCACAGAATAACCGATAATGTCTGCTTTAGTTCAATCTGAATCGCGAGTTTTTTCAATAATTTCCCGAAACAGCCGTAGATTCTCTTCGGAACCTCATAAAGAGCGAATTTTTTCCTCCTCCACAATCCTTAATCAACCTCCGCCACCTCCGGAAACTCCGGAGCCTCCGCCGCCGGAAGATGGAGCTGAGAAGAAGTCCTGGAGCTTTCTCAAGTACGGCCTCATAGCCGCCCTCACTGGTGGTGTTGCAGCCTCCGCCCATGCTACCTACGGTTAATATCTATGCACAAATTGATTTTGATTTTGGGTTTTACTTTTTTGCCTTGTAGAATAAAACAATAATCTTTTAATTGAAGAAGAGTAATTTAATTTTAATTCATTACTTGCGTACAGTGTTCTTTCGATGTTTATACTGTGCATTTAGAATATATTTTAGTATGTATTGTCAGTCTTCTAGGTTTTGAATAACTTCTAACCACTTGATAAGAAAGTATACTAATCAAAGTAAAATTTAGGATGCAAGAATTAAGGATTGCGTCCTATTATGTCTACACAGCACATGATAGCTTAATTTATCCATTAGCTAGTTTCTCATTGATAATTCCGACCTCATACATACCATGGAATGGTAACTAGGGATCACATGGCATAATAATAATCCGGCTATGCATTCTCTGTAATTGCATGAGATATTCACTTTAAATTCCTTCTTTATTCTTCTTAGTCAGTGTCTTTCTTTAATTGGGAGAGGGAATGGTTGCTTCATTCATGAAATGCATTTACAGAAGTGTTCTCTTCTTTTGTGATGAAAATGTATTATCAGTTAGAATAAAATGTCTAGAGTTCCCAACACTTATTCCTTCACTATTTTTTTGTTTTGTTTTGTGATTGTGTGTGTGTGCGTGTATTTTAGCATTTCTTAGAAAACAAATATCACAAGTCTGGATGTAGCATGTTAGAGATGATTTAGTTATCAACTGCAATCTCAGAAATAATATGGGAAGAATGCTTTTTGCTTTGAAATGAGAAGAGCTTCTCAAACATTGCTGTAAAAGGCAGGGCTTATGTCTTCTAATAAGAGCCTAAAAGTATTTAGTGATTTTTGAGTAATTAGAAATTGATACTTAGTGCATCATTTTATCAAACAATTGACTGACATGTCAATATTGGCAGCATACTCTTTAGATGAAGTTGATCAGAAGACTAAGGCTTTTCGTGCTTCTGCAAATTACACCGTTGGGGATGATGCATCTTCTCTTGAAGTGAGTTCAAACCACACACTATCTTTGACTGGTCTATTACTATTACTTAACATGAATTTCACAAGCTTAATATAGTCATGGACTTAATAATTATGCTTTCTTAGTTTCCGGAAAGAGATGTTATATTCCAAGAAGTATCACCGATGAAGCTGGTGCTAAAGAAGCATGCTAGATTCAGAATTTTGATTTGTAGCTTCTTCTGTGTTTTTCTTTCCCTCTTGCCTTCCCGTACAACACAAGAAATATTTTGCTAAAGAAGTGAATGCACGGGATGTAGTTAGCAACATGTACATGGTGAAAATGAGGAGGCGAAAAAGGATGGGGGGGGGGGGGGGGGGGGGGGNGGGGGGGGGGGGGGGGGTTGGGGTTTGGAAAACTCTAACTGCCCTACTGTTGTCTTTATTTAATTAGAAATTGTGTTGTTCTTGTGAATATGTGGATGTTGTTCATTTTACGTGGCTTTGTTACATTTTCTTTATTTGAACAGGGAATTAACTGGAATTTGCATTTTACATGTATAAAGGATGTTTTAATATTTCACATACTATGTATCTTGAAATTACTTTAATTGTGGTAACTTGGTAATTAATTATCCATTTAAGTCTATGCTAGAGAAGTTTGTATGCCAATTATTACGTGATAGTTGGAGGACTATTGCGATAGTTCTACTGTGTGGACAAGTAATTGGGAGTCATGACAAGACCTTTACCTAAATCAATTTAGATCTGCAAGGTGCAGAGCAAACAGTACAACCTCCTAGGCTGAAGAGGTTATTAGGAAGGCCAAGAAGAACAGCAAAAGAGGAAGAATGAGAAATAAAATTTATAAAGTGAAGGCTGCCAAATGTAGATAATTCGGACACAATCAAGGCATTCACGCCTCACATAATTTGCACCAGTTAACTAATTATCTCTGTATTTTGCTTTATTGAATAAATTTTGTGATTGAATGTTTATGTTTAGTTGAAAGGTAATAATGAAAAGAAAAGTGTTGTCTTGATGAGGATGTTTTCAGTGGGAATATGTTATAGTTCTGTAACTGATGAACGTTGGTAACTGAAAATTTAACTATGTCAGTTTATGCTAATTAATGGGATGATGTTATCTTTTTGTATCCAATGAGCGTTTGTAACTAAAAATCTAACTATGTCAGTTTGTGCTAATTATCTATCCACTACGCGTTTGCTTGCGTGCCTTGCTAGGCCATTTAAGTTATTTTCATCCTGGAAGCACATATTCCCATAGTTGTATCAGTGTTTTATTCAAGAAGGGTGAAGTGATAAATTTTCTGTTCCAAATTGTTGATGCAGAAATTTCAAGCTTTCCTACGCTCTGCTGCAATGACAGGTGTGTTCCTTCTCCTTTATGTTGCCATTGTTCGATACTCCTTTTGCAGGATGAAAAAGCTAATAATTATCAATTTCTTAGTGCGTGACATTGTTTGATAACATCACTCCCTGAACAACTTTTGTTTCCCAATGAATGAAGTTGTATTTTTGTTCTTGTTTGCAATATTACAGTGCCTGCTAAGTTAGTTGACCTTTACATTGATCTAAGGAGGTTGACTGAAGAGCAAGTTCAGGTAATTCACTATTTCATTTTCCTTGTCACTAGTTTCAAAGTTTCAGCATATGCCTTTTTCCTTCATTTTTTTGCCGGTTATCCTTTTCCAAGCATATTTGATGTCTTCTTGCTTTGTTTTAGGGTTTTGTTGAACCAACATCAGATAAGCTCCTACCTGATTTGCACCCTCTGGAGCAGCATGTATTTACCCTTGTTCTTGATTTGAATGAGACATTGATATACTCTGATTGGAAGGTCTGCTTCCACTTTTTGTTATTTTCTTTCTAATTGGTGTTATTGCAGCTGTAATTTTTCCTCGACTTTAGACTGACATAATTTGAAATTCATGCTTGAGCATCACCCTCTATATTTTGCTCCCTGTTCAAAACCTGAGCGTCTTTTCTTTTGTTCTGTTTTTTTAGTAGCGTGTGTTGAGACTTGGATTTTGTTAGTTTTAGGGTCAATTGATAGTAGTTATTCACTTGTTTTTTTTCTCATTCTTTTCTTGTTACTTCTTTTAAAGCGTGACAGAGGGTGGAGAACATTCAAAAGACCTGGTGTAGATGCATTTCTGGAGCATTTAGCTCAATTATATGAAATTGTAGTATATTCTGACCATCTAAATATGGTAAATTTTTGCCTTTCGTGATTTCTTTACTTACTTTCACATATACTATTTGCAAAACATCTTCCCGTGTCATTGGCAGTATGTCGATCCTGTTGTTGATATGTTGGATCCCAAACACTGTATCCGGTATAAGCTCTCAAGGGGTGCAACAAGATATGTTGATGGAAAGCACTATAGGGTATGCACATCCTCCTGTTTCTTAGAGAGCAATAATTATTACTAGGTGCATATTTTTCCCTCAACATGCCTTTTCTTGATGGGAAATCATGAACTTATAATCATATTTTGCTAATGGTCTCTTTTTGTTACACTAACATCGAACGAAATGGCTTCAGTATCTATACTGAATATGCTGTTACTACTAAGAAAAGGATGACTACAAATGATTAGAAATTTTTTGTTGTGAAATTTGTTTGTGCTGTTAGCAGGCCAATTTGCACCACTTTGCTCATATTTAAAATCTTGGCACTTGAACTACCTGTTTGTATTTCATGTGGATGATCAGGCACTTTACCCATTGCTTTTTCTGGACAGGTGTTCTTATAAAGAAGTAAGATACACGTTATTATGACCATATCAAGATTTCGGACTTTGATTCGACAATAGCTGAATTTATTTAAATATGATCTCAGAACTTTAACCATTTCCAGTTATTAAAACATACATGCTATTGTCTTATTAGTTGAAGAGTAATACAAATAATGACTTGATTATAATACAATTTACTTCATGCATATTTTACAATTTACTTCATAATTATATATTCACACATTCATGGTAGTTGACTTATTTAGTAACGAATCTTCCTAACTTATTTTTCATATATAAAAAGGAAGTTTAATTAATTTCATCCAATATTTCCACACATACACATAGATACCATATATATCATATTCATATTACACACACACACATAAATATTAATATCATATATATAGTTCAGGAAATTGTATTTGTAGTCCCTCAACTATTGGCTGATATGCAATTTTATTCCCTAATTTTCATCATCTTGCACCAAGGTACTAATTTTCATAATTAACGACTATAAAATATTCTGGGGTATTATAAAGAAAGATGCATACCATATTATTTCACTACCAAATTTCAACTCTATACTGCAGTGTCATAGTCCATGGCAATGTTTTTGTGTTTCCTGCTATCAGGACCTTTCGAAGCTCAATAGGGATCCTGCTAAAGTTATTTACATTAGCGGTCATGCTTTAGAAAGTAGCCTTCAGCCAGAAAATTCTGTTCAAATAAAACCATGGCAAGGCGAAGCAGAAGATACAGCACTTTTAGATCTTATTCCATTCCTTGAATGTAAGCATCCTCTGTGTATGAGATTATTTGTGTGACTAGCTCGATTTGGTTGATCATCATGTGAGAATTATCACTAAATCTTTCTGATTAAATGTGGACCTCTTGTATGACTGCAGATGTGGCTAAACACAGACCAGCTGATATTCGAACTGTTCTAGCTTCATACCAGGGTCGTGATATTGCCAAAGAGTTCATTGAACGATCTAAAGAGTATCAAAAGTCAGTTATCTTATCCATTGCATATTTTCTAGTGGATTATCATTTGACATGAGTAGAATATTATCCTTTTTTACCTGTTCATGCTATATGATTTATAGTAGAATATCTGTTGAGTATATTTTCATTGGTTCCTGCTTTCCATTTTTACAACAGTTTTCTTATCCATCGAATACCTGACAGTGGATTGTCAGAGTAGATTTTTTATCTTCTTTGACTGTTCCCACGTTTCATTTCTGATAGCTGCTTTGCTAATAGATACGTCAATTGTACAGGCGCATGCAAGGGCAGAAGCAGCATGGTCGTTTCTGGCAACGTTGAGAGGTGGAATCAGCTTGTGGAAATTAGGAGCCTACTTAATATTTATGGATGAAAACAGGTGGACCATGAAATGAATTTCATAAATAGCAAGCCAGTCATGTTCAGCTCTGTTGAACAGTGCTATTACACTATCTCAAAATCCTTCTAATTGCATTATATGTTCCAACAATTTTTTATTCTTTCTTATAACCTGTATTGTGCTTGCTTACCAATCTTCCCTTGGATCAATGTTAAATACAACTGCTCAGCTGCTAAGATCGGACCTATTTCTCTTGGTGTATTGAATTTTAGTTACAGTTATTGTTTTCGAGTTGTAACAATTTGTCTCATCATTTAAAAGGGTGTTTCATCTACATGGGAGCTTCTCCAGAAAATATTAATATTCATGTATCCGTACTTGTGAAGTTATGGGTTGCTCAGGGATTTGCAAAACCAGTGATGTCTAAAAGCTTGGAAGGTGTGGCCGAGGAATGTTCCTTGGGTCGTATTGAAAGAAAGTCTTATTTTGATTTCTGAGAACTCTAGTGGAAAAATAAAAACATGCAAGATTCATGTTCTTTTAAGGGACGTGTGCATGGGAGAAGCTGAAAGGTAGATTTTTTTTTTTTTTTTATGTAACCAACGGGTGTATATTATAAGAAAGCACCATTGGATTGGCGAATCTACTGTCTCAACAATCTTGCCAGTCTACATAAGCGTTAAAGTTCCTCTTTGATGGGGCGGGCGTCCTCATCTTTCAGGCAGAATCTCATCTTCCCTAGCACAAAGGGTCAACTTTAAAAGGCTGTTAGCTTCCTTGGGGAGATAAGATTATTGTTGTTCATTGCCCAATCTTTGAGGCCTTCTACGGCCCAGAGTGGGAACCAAATGAAGAATTTCTTCAACTGAAGAAATCGATCTGAAGCATTGGAGAGCGGATAGAATCCACTTTCCCCTCCTTGAGCGTCTAGTCCTTAAGAGCAGTGACCTCCAACAGGGGGGCGCCAAGTGTCCAGTTCGTAAAAAATTAGGTAAAACATTTTGTACATGTAGCATGGTCCTCATTTAAAAGGGTGTTTCATCTACATGGGAGCTTCTCCAGAAAATATTAATATTCATGTATACGTACTTGTGAAGTTATGGGTTGCTCAGGGATTTGCAAAACCAGTGATGTCTAAAAGCTTGGAAGGAGTGGCCGAGGAATGTTCCTTGGGTCGTATCGAAAGAGAGTCTTATTTTGATTTCTGAGAACTCTAGTGGAAAAATAAAAACATGCAAGATTCATGTTCAAGGGACGTGTGCATGGGAGAAGCTGAAAGGTAGATATTTTTTTTTATGTAACCAACGGGTGTATATTATATAGAAAGCAACATTGGATTGGCGAATCTACTGTCTCAACAATCTTGCCAGTCTACATAAGCGTTAAAGTTCCTATTTGATGGGGCGGGCGTCATCATCTTTCAGGCAGAATCTCATCTTCCCTAGCACAAAGGGTCAACTTTAAAAGACTGTTAGCTTCCTTGGGGAGATAAGATTATTGTTGTTCATTGCCCAATCTTTGAGTGCTCGAAACATTTTGCCTTCTACGGCCCAGAGTGGGAACCAAATGAAGAATTTCTTCAACTGAAGAAATCGATCTGGAGCATTGGAGAGCGGATGGAATCCACTTTCCCCTCCTAGAGCGTCTAGTCCTTAAGAGCAGTGTTACTCCCTGGAAAAATCTGGATCAGCTTTGCACCGACTTCGAAGAACGTGGGATCTTTTAGAATGAGTTGCTTGGTTAGTCCCATAAAGCGGTCGAGCTGGGAGGTCGATGGTCGTGAAGTACTTAATTTAGAAGTGTATTTTAGGGATAAATATGTGAATTTTAGTATCTTAGTGTTTGAATATTGAAAAAGTAAATCTTTAATAGAAGGGTATTTTAGGGATAAAAATGTGAATTTTAGTATCTTAGTGATTGAAGTTAGAAAAAATAAATCTTCAAGATTTAAAATGCCTTCCCTTTCAAAATCGTGAAGGCACACTCACTGAGTTTTTAATGGACTTATTTAAAAATAACCTCGTTAATGGGTTTGGATAGTACTAGCAATCTATTGTATGGACATATCAAATATTACACGACATCTATAAATTGTATGGTTATTGCATTTTATGATTTTGATTGAGCTAGCATTTGTGTAGAGCTTCAATTGAATCAATTTATGATCTATGTTATTCAACCATTTATACACAGACTTTGTGACTCACCGACTCTAAAGCCTAATATAATGGTCGACCTGCCACTCATCTTGCCCATGGCTTACTCTTAGGTCAAACTCTAGATAATATATACTATTTTGCGGATGTGTGACAATTATTGTTAAATTATGATCTCAATACTCAATTATTTTAACCTTGAGGGGTTGCTCAATTGGTTAATCTTTGAGTTTGCTATCCAATAATCATCCGTTCGAGTCCTCTCGGGATCACTGAGGTGAGTACCTGATCGTAAATATCAGGGGCTCGTGAGATTAGTCGAGTTGAGCGCAAGTTGGTCCAGACATCCGCGATTATTAAAAAAAAACACTCAATTATTTTGATCAAAACTTCAGGGCGGGTCAACTTATATTTTAGCCAAGTTTTATGGATTAAAATGCTAATTCCGCAAAATGACGTGGAGCGACCCAATAAAGGAATGATAATCTGATCTGAATATGCCAAACCGAAGCGACGGAGTTTCAAATTCCCGCCCAGTTCCCTTGTACAAGGACCCGTGCAAATTGTATCCATTTTGACCAAAATTCAAGGACTCGGTACGTTCTTCTTCTTCTTCTTCTTCTTCATTAATTCTCTGAATTTATAGTGTCTGATCGCAATTCCGTATACACTAACTATAATTTCTGTTTACCAGATTTTAGGGTTGGGTTGGAAAAAATGAATTTGGGGGATCTGAATAAGATATGGGAAATCAAGGCCCTAAAACGAAAGCCAAATGAAGAAGAAGCTCGAAAGATTCTGGAGAGAGTCGCTAAACAGGTTCAACCCATAATGCGTAAACACACTTGGAGAGTCAAAGTTCTCTCCGAGTTCTGGTATTTTTTTTCTTTCAATATTAATTATTTCTGTAGATTTTATTGACATCTATAATTCTTTTTTGAATCCGAAATGCTTTAAGAAAAGAAAAGTGGAAATTGAGATTTCTCCTCAGAATGTGATTTTGCTTGGTAATTTTTACTATTAATGTGGATTGTGCCAACATATAAACTTGCAGTCCAAAAAACTCGGCTCTCCTGGGTCTGAATGTAGGAAAAGGTATACATGTAAAATTGAGGCTTAGGAGTCCAAACAGAGATGATCAATTTTACCCATTTAATGAGATTCTAGATACAATGCTCCACGAACTCTGCCACAATGTTCACGGCCCTCACAATGCCAATTTCTACAAGCTCTGGGATGAAATTAGAAAGGTAAGAGGTTATTTGTGCATTTTTTATTAAACCAAATTGAACTGGTAGAGATGTTTAGAATTTCTTCTGGTGCATTTTACTGCTATAGTTAGAACAGAAGCATCATGCTATAGAACAATCAAAATAGAGGAACTGAAGATGAGTAAATGAGATTTTTTGTAATCTACCTTTTCAGGAACTGAAATGTAGGAATATATTTGTACCAAAAAAAATAAACCGTGCTTCCATGATTGAAAAGTTGTTGATTCCATCATGATTAAATTTCTGTTTCACATCATTTTAACTTTTGTCTTTGTTTCTTGCTTCCTTATCTTAAACTTTCCGAATTTAAGCTCTACAAGAAAGCCTGGACATTCAAGTTTCTAGTTTGGCCAGCATGCTCTGTTTGCATCTTTGGTTTGTTACCCGTCTGTATTTTGTATTTACTTAACGTGATTATGAACATGCCTAGGAATGCGAAGACCTCATGAATAAGGGAATAAGTGGTACAAGTGAGGGATTTGATGTTCCTGGAAGGCGTTTGGGAGGATACTCGGCTAAGCCTCCTCTTTCATCTCTTCGCCAAACTGCATTGTCTGCAGCTGAAAAGCGAGCACGTCTTGGATTGCTGCTTCCTTCTGGACCTAAACGCATTGGTGGAGATAGTTCAATTAAAGCCGCACTTAGCCCAATGCAAGCTGCTGCTATGGCTGCCGAAAGGAGATTACAGGATAATATTTGGTGTGGCTCAGAGTCTTATGATGTATCTGGAGAAAATGACAGTACTGATTCTTTGCTGAAGCCTTCAGATTTGGGACTTAGTTTTGCAAAGTCAAGTAGTCATGGTGGATTAGGTGGACATGGTATGAATGTGTTATCTCGAAAAAGAAGTCGTGAATCAGACAATGCTTCATCATCCCAGTCATTGGATGGTCACCTAGAATCCACTTTTATAGATTTGACCAAGGTTACTTCAGAATGTGGTTCCAGCTCTTGTCACGATAAAATGTTGGACGATAATATTTATAGCATGGACAAGTCACAGATGCAGTCATCAGAAAGTAATCCAAGATCTAATTCTGTGGTTTTATCCGAAGAAGCTTCTACTCATCAATCTATCTATAGTAACGGATTGGTTCCTGACAAGGATAGTTTCAAAATGTGGGAATGTATGATGTGCACTTTGTTTAACCCGGTGAGTGTTGACCTTTTTAATGTTTATTCATAAATTCTTTTGTATTCTATACCCTTTAGGTCTACAAGGCAAAACCTTCTCCATTTTCAACTATTATGATTCTCCTGAAAGTTCACCTATCTGGATTCTGCTTTTAAGTTGCTGTAGCAGTAGCATTGGATACGGCACCTCTCGAGTTAGATAAAATAATTTCTTCAATCAATTCATTAAGAAAAATAATTTGAATATTTGTAATCGATGAAAAAATAATGTTGAAGCATGAGAATAATTTAGAATTCGTGGAATGTCCAATTCTCATGACTTGTTTACCTGAATTTCTGTTGCAATATGATAAGCGGTTCTTATATTTGTGGAAACAAGGTTTTCTATGCAATTTTTACTCTTTCTTGCACACTTTCTGAACACGGGAAGCACCCTTAGAAAGACTCTGGACAACTTCCAGCCATAATTTGTGTCTGAGTCTCTCAATCATGATAAGTTTGATTTCACTCTCTACTTCAGATTTTGACCCCGTTTGGCCTTCGTTAAATTTATAATACATTTTTCCATCTTTTCTTTTTAACCACACTTTCTCCAATAAAATAATATTGCGCATAAACCAAAAAAATTTCCTTCTTTTTCAACAACATATTCTCCAAAAAAAACACTATTCCAAAAATTGTAACATCAAATAATGGGGGCCAAACGGGGGCTTTATGTGTCCTGTAGAATTTACCTCAATTCCATGGAGCTGATGACCTGTTTTGTTGATATTGTAGCCACTAGCTCCAATATGTGAGCTCTGTGGAAGCCAAAAACCGAAAGATGGGAATTTGAAAAGTGTCGTCTGGTCATGCAAATTTTGTACTCTGGAGAATAGTGTGAAGTTAGAGAAATGTGCTGCGTGTGAGGAGTGGAGATATTCTTATGGCCCACCTTTGGCTACTCCAGCACCCAATCTTGGTACTTGAGGTAAATTCAATTTTCTTGGAATGCTTTTATAGATCGTTGTGATTCCTTTTACTGATGCACCCGATGTTGCTCTTTAGGTGATTCAGTTCACTGTAGCATTGGAGACACGAAAGTCCAGATTTTGTTAGATGGGTGTCTGCCTTCACATGCTCGTCCACGAGTTGAGGTCTTCATCTAATGGCTTTGAATTGTATTTCACTGCAAGTATATATCAAGAAACCACGTCAATCACTGGTTAATGAATTTTCCTCCTAGGCTGGATTATCCTGGATTTCAGAGGCCTATCGATAAAAACCGCTGGCATCGCTGCCAGATGTTTGTTTGAAAGAAGTTTGATAATGTATTGTACTTGGTATTTTGTCAATCAGCTGTTGTGAATGAAGCTTCTAAAAGTGGGTGATCCTTAGAAATATTTTGATATTACCTTCGTCTTCTTCAGAATTGTGTCATCTTCTTGATTTCTTGAAAGGATATTAGTGAACCGTGTATCTCATTGAGAGTAAAATGAGGACGTTAACCTCAATTATCATGTCCACTTTATTTTTTATTTTATTTTTTCTATTTTTTTTTTCAAATTTTTTTT